AGCTAGCCCAGAGCTGCTCGCTGGCGTATTGTTTAGGCACCCGAACGTATACCGCAACGCTCTGCAATGGGGCTACCTTGATCGGTGCACTGGCCAAACCTGCTGGCGCTGGGCTACTAACAACTGCACTGCTATGGCATTGCAAAACAATAGCGTCCCGGAATTTTCTGGGACTTTTCTTCCTTGGCCAAATAAATGAGAAGGAACTTGTACTGCGCTTTGGAGCCCTGCAACATAAGTTTGGCATGTTCAATCTCTTGTTTTTCAGCAAGGATGACCCCTTCCAAAATTGTACCAGCTTGGTTTGCATCAATGGTGGCACTCAACTTGTTGAAAGAAATGACTGGAGCGTTCCAGTCTTGCGACCTCAGCTGAAACTCACCCGACTTCGGCTGCCTGGTGACCAGCTTCCACTCGTTGTCCGTGGCCTGACCTTTGCCCTTACCTCTCTTTGTTCGGGTGGTGTGCGCAGGGGGGTCAGGAGGACTATCTTTATTATTCGAAACCACGGGCTTGGGGGCAGGAGCTTGCTTTCCCTTACCCCGATCAATTTCCTTGGGGGATTGCTTAGGGGGCTTACCCTTACCCTTAGGTGAACCCTTGTCAGGCTGACTGCTGGCACTGTTCGTGGCTTGCTGACTGCCCTGCGTGGCACTCGTCGTTGCAACTGACGAGACCGGTGCACTGAGCCCAAGATTTTGGAAGGCCTCCTTGATTGCTTCACGCACGGCTTCCATGACATATTGCTTGATCATGTTCTCAAGTTCAGGACCAAAAGGGCTTGGCCCAGGATTCTTTGCTTCACCAATACGTACCCCAGTGTTGGGATCATGCTTGACTTGACTACCAAGACTGACCTGTGTTGTCCTTGGTCCTGGATGTGCCGCTTCCCCAACACGCATCCCTTGCAAGTAAGCAAAGCAGGACTGCAGGCTAGCCAATGTGGAGTATATCAAGGACGGCAAGGCCTCTCCACAACATACCTGATTCTGCCTCAGGCTGACGCGCTGACAAGGAACCTTAGGCTCGGGCACTGGCACAGAAAACTGTTCCCGAATCCAAGCAAGCTTTGTAGCCTGTTGTGTTGGCAGTTCCTCCTTTCCATCGGGGTGCGGCACCCCAAAATTCTTCAGCACATGGGACAAAGCAACAGGCATGTCGCTCGGGACCACGTCACTTGCTGAAAACCTACCCGTCTCCCCACAAGAAGAAAGAGGCAGTCCGAAGTGTTGCAAAGAGCTGCCCAACCCTTCGGCACACACTGACAGGGAAACACATGCCCCCTCATCTTCAACATGACCAGTGTCGAGCTGTGGCAATGACACGTCAACCCTTTGCACTTGTTTTGAGTTACGGTGCGCCTTGTGGATCGTCTCCCCTGCACAGGAATCCACCTCAGGCAATCCAAATGGGCAGTTTGCCACCCAAAATGAAGAAACCGGAAGTGTGGCAGAATGTGCTTTCAGCAACCACAACTGACAGCACGCCACATGTCTTTTACTTTGCTCCTGTTGCTTGGCCAAAATGACCTTACAGGCACTCTCGGCAAAGATGCGGACAGTCTGCGAGGAACCCGCAAAGCAGACTGTTGGCAAACTAATCGGTCCAAGATCTCCCAAAATCCTGAACTTGACTGGCTTTCCAGGTGGCAAGAGCAGGCTGACACCTAGCGATGCTTGCAATTTCTCGTTCATACTCTTCCATTGTCTGATACTCCAAGCATTGAAGGAACAAGTTCCCCCTGAAGAAGGTGCCATCGCCCCCCTACCGGCAAACACGCTCAGTTCACTAGCCTGCCCTAGCTATCCAGTCCCGACCACGTGGAGGTGGTGTTTGAGCCGAGACCTTTGGAAAGAGATCGACGGCTAACGATGTAGTATCCCTAGACACCACCTTCCGGCTATCAACCGAAAAACCACCCACCAGCTTTTGTTGTCTTATTCTCGTCCGGCCGTTTTCTTCCGCAATTGCAATACGCCCCCGCCTGTGCTGGATGATGCTCTAGCTGCCGAGCTCCACGCCAGCATCATCGAAGCAATGAGCTTTGGGGTCGGGTCGTAATTTAGTTTATGTTGGGGGTGTATTTCTATGGGCAGTGTTCTGCACTCCACAATTATCAAAACTATGCCGAAAGTGCATTTCCTAAACTCCTCCGCGGGCTGCGCACTTCAATTTACTTACTTCATCGAACACTCCACAAGCCCTCAAACGCCGTTGAACAATATACTTGTCATATGATTCATTGATTAATTGATCAAATAATTATATATATATTACCACAAGGAATCAGATCTGCACGACCAGAATACAGGCAGTAGCTAGCTCACAACAGGACAAGGCGCTGCATGACATTCGAACCACAGTCCGTCTAAGAAGCAGGCTCTTTTGTGAAAAGCAAACTATCAGTGATGTCTGAAATCTGATATCGGCAGCACAAGCATGTGGACAAGCTGTTCGTAATCGCATGAACATGCTCATCTATTTTTGAGACACATCGGCTTTGTCGAGCTTCAATGCGCAGCACTGCGCAGCTGGTCACACCTGGCACGCGGAATAAGCACAGAATAATTAATATTTGCCGTGATGGTGCAAACATCCCGTAACATCCTTGAAAACAGATGGCCGTGTCAAGTCGCTGGGGTCAACAATTGTGCAGCAATGCGTCTTTCGTGCAATCATGCGCATGCTCAATGCGGCCTCAGCTTGCTAGTCGTGAGCAACCTTAAAGCACATGTACCTTTATTGCAGCCCCGCAGACTGTTGGCAGCTCCGGTGTAGCTAGTCCTGAACGTGATGCTTCTGCATGAGTGTGTGCGAAGCTTTAAGACTTTTGATTGCAAAGACAAAATGTGTCGATCGAAAATGGGGCTTGAGGGGGGCCCACTGACCGATCCCAATCCCGCCAGCGCGCCCTGCGCACAGATCTCATCCTGATGATGCACACGTGACCCTCGATATCCAAACCATCTCTGTCTGACTTTCCCTTTCCTTGTTTCGGGTGGTGCAGAAATAGATGAGAGTCCCAAGAGACCAAGCCAATGTAATAATCAATGGAGTACGTGCCGCATCTCAGCTTGCAATGCTCTCCCCTCCCTCTCTCTTGCTTTGCTTTGCAGGGGCTCCCTCCCTCGTTTGGGCGACGAAGGGTCTAGTCTAGCGAGCCGGCAACACATGAACGCCTTCTTCCTCTCTAGGCGCCGTACCATTATCATCGTGGCCAAACGAAGTGCAATCCTTGGATCAGCGTAATAGAACTGTGGCTGGCCTAACGACTTCCTAAGCTCCCGAGGAGCGGGCATCGGCCAGTGCGAACTGGACTATGTCCTGGCGTGAATGGGCATGTGCCGACCATTGGCACAAGTAAGCTCTTATCTTGAGCAAGGTAGCACCAACCGGTCACGACAGAGAGCTGTCACGAGAAAAAGAGTTGCAGTCTGTGCTGCTGTCGTTCGGTCCTCTGCCAGATCGTGGAGGGCCTGTGACCCAGCTCTTGGTGCCTGCAAGCCGATGCCAAGCACAGTTCTTGCTTCTTGAAAGCATCCGAAAGCAGCCTAGTGCAACAACACGTGAGATACGTGAAGTTCTTCACACATGGCTGCCCACGGAGCTGCTTGAAGCAGAGATCACTCAAAAATTGCACCTTCTAAGCAAGTTTCGGAGCGCAAGTGATAGCCGAGTGTAGGGTCTCAACTCTCAAGCAGCATTGACATATATCTCCTTGCTGAAGAGCACCCTGCCTCCAATAACGCCTCGGGACTGAAGAAAGCACGGTTGCAGAGCGTCCTTTCTCGCTGATAAAAGCTTGCAGAGGTCCTGCACGGCCGGAAAGATGGTTGGCTACTCAAACGGCCAGCACACGGTTCTCAAAAACCGCAACTAGCCCTCAGAAGAATTCTACATCTTGAGCAAGGTAGCACCAACCGGACACGACAAAGAGCTCTGACGAGAAGAAGAGTTGCAGTCCGTGCTGCCGTCGTTGAGCTTTTGCCGGGCGCAGATCACCTCGAAACGGCCAGCACTCTCGAATGTGGCATGCTTAAAATGGCTTCTTTATCTCTCTCTCTCTCTCCCTCACAAGAGAAAGAGCAGGCTAGCTTGTCGTCTTCTTCACTTTGCGCAGCTGTCAGGGATTTGGGCACCGTAGTGCCAGTCTTGCGACGATACACCTGCGCTAATATGAAGCGGCAAAAATGCCACTCTCCGAACAACGGGCACAGCTCTCAGTGCTTGAATCCATGGGACTTAATGACGCGAGCACATGCCTCGCGCTTGCTGCTGAAGCAGTCGGCGTCATAGCCGGTCTCACCAAAAGAAGGAATGGAACCCACGATTTCTCTTACGCCGTCTTGAAAAATGCGGAAAAGAGGGACCCAGCGAACCCACAAGGGCAAGCTTGGATGGACCCAGGCTGGCCATCCCAAGCTCTTGTAGAGCTCCAGCGCGGATGATAGGCCAACAGTGGTTCGAACATCAGACCAGCGGCAGGCGGACATGACGATGAGATTCGTCTCTGTGTCCCCCTCGTTGCTAACACGATGCCACGACCATGGGGGGTTGAAAAGCGAATCACCGGATTTCAATCGCACCGTGGCTTTGGGAAGAAACTTGTAGATGCGATCTATCACCTCATGGTTGGCTGGCAGATATCCCCATGATCCGATGCCTCTCGGGATTGTCGGCCCCAAGAAAATCGAGAAGCGGTAGTTGATCAATTCCCAGACTTTCGTCCCATGATACACGCTCACCAAGTTTGGGTGGTTTTCCATGTGCCACTTAAGGCCCTTGCCAGGACCGTTGACCAGCAAAGAAAGGGATCGACAGCCGTTTAGCTGAAGCACATCGAGGCCCAGGGATGGATAAATCTCGGGGAAATTGCTGAGCATTGTGTCCATCCCAGCATCATATCTGCCTGTTTCGCCCCGTTGGAGGCCTGCAACATACTCCGAAAAGTTGGTGTCCTCACTGACCTTAACCTCACTATCATTGTAGTGCAGACCCTTCCCTAATGTCATCGCCATGACCGTGAAGTTACCATAGCGCCTGACCCACTCTGGTTTTTCAGCCTCTTGGCAGGCAGAGGCCTTTTGGACAAGACCTCGGATAACCACTGGGAATCTCCCGTCTTGTGACAGGCGCCGCAGCTGCTCCGGCGTGTACTCTTCAGCCGTGATCTCGGGGAGTTGGTAGGTCTCCTCAAACTGGGACGGGCTTAACCATCTCTCGAATTGGAAATAGCTCTCCAGCATGTGCATCCAGAACTCTTTGGCCTGGGGCATGTAGTTCGCGCACGGGACGTACATGTGGAGACATAGGGTCAAGCGTCCTTCTGAAGAGCGTACAGCCATGAAAAGGGCAGTCGTGAGAAGGCCTACAATGAGGTGCCAAGCCAGCTTCATTTTCATGCTGGAGAAGACAAAATTTGAGTGGCGCAGACTATGCAGAACGGCACGGATCCCTGCTTGGGCCAGTCTCGGAAGGCACAGTCTTTCTTTGCACACATCAAAAGTCGGATCATATGGGGACTGCTTACAGAATGGCAGAGGCGTGCATCATCAAACTGTGGACCAGAAGGGTTTAGCGTTTAGGGTCGGTTGAGGGATGTTGAGGGTGTAGGGATGTTAGTTTAGGGCTCACGGTTCAGGGTTTTGGGTTTAGGGCGTGGCCTTCTCCAAAAGTAGCTGAGGGTCGCATCTTTTTGTGTCCCCAAGAACCACCCGCACAACCCGGACTAAAACCGTTTAGCGGTTTGGACTCTATGCCTGATGGTGCTAAAGGAGATACCTGACCGCCTTGCGCTGTGTACTGTTGTGGGGGCTAGCGCACACATTACACTCTCAAGGTGGTATCGGAGCGCCCGGAATAAATTGTTGTGCTACTGTACCCTGTGATGCCCATCATGACCCTGGGGTGCACACCATCAGTTGCCACACGCGACCCATGGAAATGATGCTTGCCAGTGCCTGCTTGTTCATCACACTAGCGATAGCGGACTTAAAATTTGTCAATGAGACCAGGCCAAACTAGTGAAAAAGGAGTTCATATTTGTAAAAGGCCAACTTTTGTTTGCGTGCGGCTCCTGCTTTGCGCTGGTGTGCGGCGGAGTGTGCAAGACTGCGGTTTTGCCCGAACAATGGCCTGGGCCCTAACCCCTTTTACCTGATACAACTCCCCTTAGGAAGGGTCACGTATCTGTTTGCTTGTTAGGGAATCTATAGAAGACAACCTTGACACACATTTTGCACCCCTTAACCCGAAAGGCCAGCACTGTAGGATTTTGCTTCAGTCCGCATTTCTCCCTGCTGTCGCTGGCCAGAAGGAAGGCGCCCAGGCGCATGCGAAGCACTTGCCAAGCTCGTCCTGAGCATCTGTTTGAAACACTAACTTAGGCCTTAGAGATCCTTGGAATTCAGCGGTTTCGTGTTTAGACACTATAAGGCACTGGTGTCAAGGAATGCAACAAATCGGGCGGTTCGGCATGCAACTGGATCAGCTTGTGCATGGGGCTCATTTCTGCGACAAACGAAGCCTGAGGATGCTGACGCGAGATGTGAGAACTGCAAAGGAAGATTTGCAAGTTGAAAGCTACTAAGATGCATCGCCTACAGATGCAAGCCAGCAAGACCTACTCGGAGGACTCACACGACTTCGATGTACTCTCCATCAGACGGCCCAACCAGAAGAACAGCCCTGCTGCGAGGCATGTGCTGGCCTGGAAACCAGTGAACAACTTCAAGCCTCCATTGATCAATAGTTGGGTGGAGACCATCGAAAGAAGGCTGGGGAGAACACCCTGGCTGAAAGTCTGACATGAAGCGGCCACACCGGCACAGTCTGCGAGCGGCTCGAGGTACAGAACATTCAGTGCGATCACAGCAACGTTTATCACACTGGACTGCAGAAAAGATCCTGCCAAATAAGCCCAGAGGAACTGGGAGTAGAAGCATCCTAGCAGGACCGAAACGATGCCAGCGCAGGCCAAAAGCGTCAAGGACGTCTTACAGGTCTCCAGAACGGAGGTACTGGTAAAGCAGGACCGCTTCACCAACAGACCCATAATGAGAAAACCTGCATATGCAAACATCACAAGGGCCGAGGCCGTCATCGAAATGTCGAAGTTCACCTGTGTGATATAGGTTGTGTTCGATTCGAACGTCAAAATCGCTGCTGTGAGGGAACCCATTGTCAGTAGCAAGCTTATCGCACGGAAATTGAAAATGCGCGATAAATCTTGGCAATAATCCCGCTCTTCGACTGACTCATCTGGGCAGCTTTCCACGATTGCCACCCAAGCATAGACTCCCATGAAGGCCCAAATCCCAGCCAGCCCAAAAAAAGAGATGCGCCAGTTGAAGAGAACTGCAAGCCATGCCCCAAAAGTGGGTGCTACCAACATACCGAGAATGGACATCGTGTGCAGCACTGAAATAACTGCGTAGCGCTCGTCAGGGTCTGCAATGTGGTCACGGACGACTGCGAAAAGCACTGGTTCCACTGACTCCCCTATTCCCTGGAGAATCCTTGCGGCCACGAACCACTCAATCCGTTGGGAGCATGCGCACCCCAAGCTTCCTAAGCACAGGACAATCATGCTCATGATCAGGACAGGTCTGCGGCCGATGCGGTCAGACAGGCCAGCAGTCAGCAGCCCAAAGACTGCCTTGACAATGAAATTCAGCTGAACAGTGAGGCTCATCAGGCTTTGGGTCCCAGACAAATCCTTTTCCATCTGTGGGAAGCTTGGCACATACTGATCGATCGTGAAGTAAATGAGCGTGTACACAATCCCAAGGAACACCACGCAACCCTTCGGATAGCTTTTCTGCACGCTGGCGTGCTGCGGGGCCTTCTCAGGCAAGCCAAACAGCCAAAGGCAAATGGCGATCAAGATCAGGCAAGCATATAAACTGCTGACTACATACTTGGTCAGCCATTCGCCAAGCTGGGACTTCAGAGGAAACCCATCCACGACCTGCGTCTGGACTTGAATCTGGAGAAAATATATGAAGTCGCGTGTGTCTTCCATGGCTCTCTGTATGTCCTAAGTCCTCTATCAGCATGGAACGTGAGCTTAGGCAGCTGGGTGCAGGATTTTATCGTGGCCGTGCGATGCTGTGGATAGGTCGGGTACTGCGTCATAGGATAGAACACACCCCATGTTTCGTACATTACAGTGCCAAGCGCCATCGCTTTTGAAAGCAAATCTTGACCACAAAAAAAGAAAGAACTTGGCTGCGCGAGCTCAACGTAAACTGCCAGATGAATGTTTATCGGTACAGTCTCGAGCAGAACGAGCTTGTGACATGGGCACGATCCGGATAACCCAACGCATGTGAAGGAGAAGCTGATGTTGCGGAGTTCCTTCTGGGGCCGCTGCATGCCGCTGCGCCACGCCCAAGGCAATCGGCATCTTTCGCCTCGAGCCTTGGTGACTGAAGGTGACTGCCATCTCGCTGAAATGCAGAGATTAGTGAAGATTATCATTGTCATTGCGGTTGCTGCTGCGCCTACACCGGCGTCTGATCCACAGCTTTGAATGCCAGGTTATCACAGCGTAGCGAATTGAGATTGCATTACGATTTTCCGTAACAAGAAGCTGCCTGCAAATTGCGGGTGCTCAACGCTGTGCTTAGGGACATGACTATATACAAGTGACCATGGAAGCGACATGCCAAACCCGACCTTCACGATGCATTGCTATAATGTGCTTAACTACAGAGACATGACTTAAGGTTGTTCCTCTGCAGCATTACCTGCACAAAGAAAACGGCATCACACATGACCGCGTCTCCATCCATGCATGAACAGACAGTCTGCTGCAGTTATCTTTACACTCAGTACTGCCAGTATCATTATTGCGATTACTAAAAGACCTGACAGCAAACAACAAGAGAGCACTACCTGCTTGAAGAGCTCTGCCAGCTTCGCTTTGTGAATTCAAAGGCGGGTTCCCAATCTTATGTGCGGGACTATGGTAGTAGGTGTCAGGAACTGGAGAATTCAAGAAGACGCAACTGCAACCAAAGAGCGCTATGATGTTGAAACTGTGCCTGCCTTCCGCTTCAAAAAAGAGAGGAGATGGTCTGTAGATCATGATAGTATCGCGGTATCATAGTTGAAAGCACTTGAAACCAAGAACTGTGCCGTGTTGCTTTTCTTCGGGGTGGATGCAGAGGTATTGCGCTAACTCAAAGACTTCCCAGACTTCCCAAACATTCCTGCGGCCCACACGAAGGGAAAAACCTGAAAATGCCGGTTTTAGCTTTCGCAGATCTTCAGACTGCTTGCCAGGACTTGATGCAGATACCACACTCTGAGGATTTCTGAATCACCTTTGTACTGGGTTGTACTGTCCCGGCTAAGCAGGCGGCTGAGCTGACGCCTAGAATCAGCAGCGCTGCCACTCGGCAAACATCCTGAGGTGCAATCCAGTTTGAAGTGATGCACAAGTAACCTCTGCGTCCTTCCAGTGCCCTTTCAGCTTGAAGCGCTTCACATACGCACATCAATCCGAGGTGAGCCTGGCAGCTTTCACATTTTGCGGCATGGCTTGGAAGGCCGAGTTTATGTTGGGTCCTCCCTCCGCTGCATCAGCTGGGCTCGCTACTCTCATCAGTGCTTGGCCAGCTTTCTTTGGATGACTCCTGCTTTGGAAGCACAGGCTTCTACATACAGGCCCGCAAGCGCAGCATGACAGAGGCCAATCTGCAGTATTTTGACCAGAACTGCACCCGGACAGGAAAAAGTCAAGTACGCAAGCCTAGCAACTCAGAGAGGATGCTGCAGAGGTATGCTTGTCCAAAGAGCACTGTCACGTAGATGACAGTTGCAGGGATACCGTGCAGCCAGAAGGGCAGGCACGGCTCCATCCCCAAACTTATGAAGAGACATATAAAGCATGTTGCCATCACAGCACAAAGAAACCTTGTCTCTGACTGTGCTCCAGTCCAGACAGCCAACATAGCCAACTGATCTACAAGAAGGTATGTGTTGGCAAAGAACATTGTGGCGAAAGATCTCTGGCCTTGTAGGTAAGCGCTCGCTGAGTTGCCGCCTGCATCACTAAAGGCCGTCCTCTTGCGTGGGACAAGGATGAGAACACAAAGAAGGGCCAGGAAGGACAAAAAACAATGCGCGATGTCCACGAACAAATCTGCTCCAGTGACTCCAGTGTAGCCCGTGCCAGATGAAGGATCTCGCTCGTACTCGTAGTTTATGCTGTGGAAGTATTTCATCACAGCGGTCAGCAGCAATGCTGCACAGCACTTAGACCTGGCCGTCTTCACTAAGAAGGGTTTGATCCACCCAAGCAGCGCCCCAAAGCCGAAGTACCACAGGAACAGGTGCGAGCCGGCTTGGCGAGTATAAGGCACAAAGGCCACTGCCAACGGCTGCGGATCACCTGCTTCAACATCTATAAAATTCTTGGCAGCAGTGAAGCCTGTTCCAAAGTGTAAGGCAGATGCAAGCACAAGCCGTACTGCCCATACTGCAGCCCGGCGCGATGTAGGCAGACAACGTGTGACAATGTGCAGAAGCCGTGCCCATAACATGAACATGAAGAACCAAGGATAATCACAGCTGCTATCGACTCCGGGTTTCGCTAATTTGATGAGACGTCCAAAAACCCATGGGATAAGCAGCTGCCCAAGCGACTGAAATGTTGGAGATTCTCGCTCGTCCAGATACCCAGCATACATCGCAAATCCTTGCATGGACATGGTGCCCCACAAATTGTTCAGAGCGTGATACTTCCCGGCAGCTTTGTCATCCAGAATTCTCCGGATAAGGAAGGAATGGTGACCCAGGAACACACCAAAGATCATGACAAAATAGAAGTGCCCAAGTTCTGCTGGAGGTTTCTGATCCCTTGCCATCGCAAGTGAATCAAAGGAAGGCTCCTTAGTCTCCAGGTTCTCTATGAACCAGGTTGCTGCTGCTGCTGCATCCGCATCTGGGGAAGGCCCGCCCAACATCAGCCAGGAGAGCGTGGGCTCCTTGCTGTTTATCAGTATTGTCAACATTCATCATCAAATATTACGACTGTCATTGTAGTGCTTATTATCATTCAAGAACGTGGGCTCCATGCATTTCTGCAACGACTGCCGCTGGATCTCGCCTTTGACGCTCATGGGCATGTCCTGTGAAGGGTCTAGGGTCTAGGGTTTAGTGTTTGGGGTTTAGTTTAGGCCGTTTGGGGTTTAGGGCATGTCCTGTCAACAAGAAGCTACAATACTTGCAATAATTTAGACATAAAAGATTTGCTCTACTTATAAAAATTAGAACCATCATCACACCAGCGTCGACCCCAAGAGCAACCAAAAGAGAATTTGAATAGAACTGTACGAACACTTGTGAAAGCACCCCTGGCCAAGAGCACCGGGCGTGCATTCAAGTTTTGCTGCACATCAATGAATTCTGAGGCCAGGAACTCCGGGAAACCTCGGAGCGCCATTTCGCCTGCTTAATTTGTATCACAAAGCAACAAGTTCCGGGGGCAGAGCTCCAGGAGACCATGTTGCGCACTTGTTTTATTCTACAATTCAACGAGTTCCGAGGCCATGAGCTCGAGAAACGGCGAGAGTCGCGCATTTTGCGAATTTTTGGCGACCCCACAACTCCAAACACGAGAGTTGCACTTCGCGACCCCACAAGTAGCCTTCAGGAGGCCAAATATCCAAAAGCGACGAGGAGCTCACATTTCGTGAGCCTACTGGCCCTCGATCTTGTGGTTTCGCCTTAGCTGTCGTCATCATAGAACCATCTGCAAGTCCACTGGCTCAAAAAGAAGACGAGAGTGCGACCTCGTTTTTGAATGATACGTACGCGAACAAGCAAACGCAACGTAAAAGCGGCGGTGATGAGCAACTCACAAACGCAAAGAAGACCATTGACCCACCTGTCCACACAGCAAGGCCTCGCGCACTGCATCCTGAAGCAATTTAAACAAACAGAGCAAACCTTCATCTCCCTCAACAATTGAAACTTGAACCCTTAACCCAGGAGCAGCCGGTCCTGGCTCAACACCACGTGCCTTAGCTGTGCTTGGGACCTGAGTAAAACTACGATTCTGTGGTACACTCCTCATTAAAAAAGAAAAGAACAGAAATGACGCAGAACAACGCAAAGAACAATAACAAGAACAAGAAACAGAAAAAAGACAATGAGAAAGAGAAAAAGATCAATAAACATCAGCACAAGAGACTAAAACATGAAACAATCATAGAAAGCAAAGGAAAGGACAGAAGAAAAGGACAAGGAACGACAAGGAAAAGGAAAGAATGCACGACAACAACAAACATGGAAATGAAATGCAATAAGAGAGCACAGGGAACGCAACGAAACGAAATAAACAATCAAATCGAAACGAGAGAAAAGGACATAGATAACATAATGACGCGGAGATATAAGAAACGACCAGAAACGGAAAGAAAAGAAGACAAAGAAAAGACAGGACCAAAACGCAACCGAACAACAAATCAAACGAAAAGAGAAAGAAAAGACACGCAGAGAAGATAACCAGAAAATAAAATGAGATACCCACACAGAAACATACAACAACAACAACAACAAAAGATGAGAAGGACAAGTTGAAAAAAGACAATACACGACAAGACAAAATAAAACATAGCAAACCACAAAATATGTCAGTGTGCCCCCCGGTTGCTGCGGCAAGAATCGGGACCATTCGGGCTGCAAGGCGTTGCACTCCTGCAACTTATACAAGTCAAAGAGACGATTATTGTCATTATAATTTGACTCTCACTCTTATTACTATCAGTATTATTATCATTGTCGCTGTATGGCGGTCTACAAGAATTAGGGTCCTTTTTTGGGTGGGTTTGCTTTCAGGGTGCTGCACTGTAAACATGCATACCATTATGAACATATAGATTGCAACATGCATCTATATATTTTCATGCCTCCATGTTTACAGTTTTTCGCGGTATTTGGTGCCCTTCACGGCTCCCCCAAGCCACCTACGAAATCTCGGGGAACTGCCCTAGATCTTCTTGGTGAGGCCACGCCTTCGATGATTCTTTCACGTTTTTTCAAGGCATTGGTGCCTTGGGGCTGGCTGTCGGTAGGTCTGTCGGCAGGCCTGTCGTAAGGCGAGCATGAAAGAAGAGCATGTACATGCGATGCATCATGCATTCGCCACGGGGGTTGGCGGAAGCAGCATCAGCTCTCAACTACATGTCAAGAGGACTCTATTCGTTCTACCATTCGATACTTCCGAGCTCTAGCCAGCTTTACTTCGACTCTTATCTTTGCACTCCTTGATGGCGGCCCAAAGCTCAAAGGCGCTCTTCTCCTGCAAAAAAATCCGAAATTTTGGGGCTGAAAGAATGTATGTCGTGGCAAACGAGAGGAGGCTTTCGTGAAAGAGGAATCTATAATACAACTAAAAGAGAAACGAATCTTCGTCTGCCCTAAAGATTTGCGAGGTGCTCTACGGAGGCTCAGAGTGCACGGGTTGGGCATTGAGGTTCGGAATTTCCATTGAAGATTGGCACTGGGTTTTGGGAAGATCCCAAACTTACTAAACGAACTTAGGAAGCCGCCTTTGCCACCTCCCCAAGCCTCGACCCCGCCAAACATCTCAAAACGGCAGCGTTCTATTTTTGATGGTTCACTGGATATACTGGCTTCATTGGCACCTCTTCATAAGAACCCCAATGCTACTACATCAAAAGCCACCATACCCATCTCAAACCTTCTTTCCCCCAGCCTTGGTTCGCTCTGCTTCAATGACCAGAAGCGGCCTTGGAAAACGGTCGCCCACCACGCAGGCTCGAAGCCCGAGGCGACCCAGTGCCTTCGGGAAGTCGGTTGGGAGTTCAGCGGCGGAGGCTATTGAATTCGTTGAACTCCGATGCAGCTTGAGGATTCAGAAGAGCTGTATTCAAAAAACCTAGAATATTCTAGAATCTAGAATCTAGACCTTCGTTGCGGGCTTAGGGTTCAATATGCCTTCTCCATGGGGAGAGGGTTCGTCATCTCTCCACTCGTGTGGACAAGCAGGTCATCGCTGCGAGAGAAATGACGAAGCCATGTGGAGCCATCCCACCTTTGAGCGTGGGGTCAATAACAGAAGCCTAGGAAACTGCAAGTACATATCCCCTCTAACACAGTCCCGGATGCTCTTATTCATTGGGCAGGGGGTGGGGGGGGGGCTCAGAACACACAGCGCACATGAACACACGCTTGCCGGACACAATGCACAGGTGACCACGTCAGGTCCAAACCTGCAGACCTCAACCGAAACCCTCAAAACGAGAAAAAAGCCTTCTGCTACGCATTCCACGAAAAAAGGATCTTTGAGAAAACGACCCTCTAGCAGACTATCGTACTTCAGGGGTGTGTTGTGCTTAGGATGGATGGTTTGGGGCCCTGGGGCTCCGAATACCTGCATCGGGTTCTAAACCTGGAATTGCAAATGTGTCTTCAGAGTTACAACAAGTGCAACTAAGGCGCTCAACTTCTTCAAAGATGTCCCCTGTCCAGTACTCCTCCGCTGTCAGCTGCCCTGGACCCGTGAGTGGGCGGCCCTGGCTGCCTCTTAGGTACGCCTGTGCCGCCGATTGCGCGCCGTGGAGCACCAGCTCACCACGGCGTGGCTCCTCCGACGAGTTGAGCAAAGAGCGGAAGGAGTAGGTCGCACCAGCCACTGGCTGCAGCAAGTCTGTCCTGGCGCCTAAGCGGCCAAAGAGAAGAGGCCCTCCCAACTCTGTTTGCCCATAATCCACCTGTAGTTTGATCCCATGCATTCTGCAAACCTCGAAGCAGCCTGTGGGTAACTGCGCACCTGCAAAGGCAATGTGATGCAGACGCCCACAAATAGCCGCATAAGAAGCTGCTTTTTCACCTCTTTCTAGCTCTTTACAGATCGCCTCAATCACCCACGGGACCGTGCTCAGGACTGTGGGCCGAAGATCTTTACAAGCTCCCAGTAGCAAGTCCACGGTCACCGGACTCGATTCCGGTGCTTCCAGAACTGCACAGCGAATCCCTGCGTAGAGGTTGAAAATGAAGTTCACGGTCAAGCCGATGGCATGGAAGTTTGGCAGGAAACAAACAGTCCCAGCGTTTGGAAACAGCACAGCCTCGGACTTCTCACGTGAGATGTTCCGGCAGTTCCACAGCAGGCTGCTGTGGCGGTGAGGGACGGCCTTAGGCGTTGACGTGCTACCTGACGTGAAAAGGATCACTGCCACAGGGTTGTCGTATCCGTCGGTCCCCTCGTTGGGCTCCTCACTCTCCTCACTCTCCTCGCAATTCATGCCTTCCATCAGGAGAAGCTGGACATCGAGCTGCTTGACTAGCTGTTTGGCTGCTGCCTCGTAATAGCAAGAGGCCAAGAGCTTGGTGCACTTAGTCGCAGACAACATGGCTTCTTGAATGGCCAGGGGCTGCCTCCAGCTCAGCAGAACAGGTACAGCTCCAAGCTGCATACATCCAAGTAGTAGGACCTTGTAGTCCAATGTGTCTTGCGAGAGGATCCCAATATGCTCCTGATCCATCAGGCCCTGTGCCTTCAACCATCCAGCTGCCTTCTCGACAGCAGTGGCAAATTGGCGAAAACTTAGGCTTCGGAGGGTCCCTCTCCCAGGCGCCCAGATTTCAAGAAATGTGGCATCTGGAATCCGCGCTGCTTGCTCTTTGAGCAGCGCTGGGATTGTTTTGGCCGCCCGGATGGGGCAAGTGCCCCCGGTGCTGCCGGTTACTAGGCTCTCATTCGGGCTGCGCAAGATCTTTCCAGGTTCTGCATCCTCCACGGTCTTATGCCTGGAAAAAGACACGCTCCCTGAGCAGGAAAGTGCAAGGCGTGCAAGAAATGGCCAAGGCTTGATTTTCAATTTTGCATTTAGCCGCACTGCCTCGTTCAGACCCACGAAGAGCGTGAGAAAAAACAGATAATCTTTCCAGAACACCGCTGAACCAAAAGTAGGCAACTGACTCCCCGTCCCCACCACAGCAGGCGAAGCCTGCTCAGCCTGCAATGCTAAGTCCGCTAAGCGGCAGAGACCGTCCGTCGCCATTGAACCATCAAGCGGCGCTTGAAAGATAGCCGATAAGCAAGTGCTTCAGGTGGCTTGAAAAATCAAAACTGTTCAGAGCCGAAGGGCAAAACAGGCACAGGTATGCATGTAGGAAATTAAAAAGCAAAAGCGTACATAGATAGGTAGGTCAGGCACGCATTAGGAATGACGATATGCAAGCATGTAGGCGTTGTATGCATGCAAAGATGTATTGAAATGTGTATGAATGTCTTCGTGCATCATGCATATTGCGCAACGGGATTGGTAGGCAAACTTTGATTACAAGCAGCCAGCAACGCTCAAGGTAAACTTCGGCACCAAAACCACTCTTGTCTGAGAGCCTACGAACCATCACTACTCAGGCTCTGTCAGGCTCAGGGTGTGCTGTGGCCTCAGCATCAGAGTCCATGTCGCTCGGTTGAAGAGCGCTTTCGCCATTGAAAATACCCTGAAAGCGACAGGTCGAGCAGGACTGTCCATTCAAAGATGCGTGGTCCGAGAAACACAAGCCTGGAGACACATATGACCTTTGGAACTCCAACGCAACCTGAACCTGGCCCGCGGCGTTGCGAGTTCGCGCTATTTACTCTGCCAGTGAACTCATTCATGTGGATGTCATCACACTGACAGCCAAAGCACCCTGTTGGGGACACTCTCCCAATCTCCCAATCCAATCCGCCAGGCCTTAGCAGTCCGGGACAGTTACTGCGGCCCCCGTCGCTCTCAAAGCACCGCAAAGCCTGGCACGCATACTGAGGACAGAGTCTAACATGCTTGCGCGATCTTGCGCGGGGAAATCGGAATATATGGGAATGGGAGTGGAGGTTTCCAGGCACTTTCCTGCTGTGAAGTTAAACACTTTTGAGTTCAAGAAATCGGGCACGCCCCACCTCGCGCCTGCAAGCTTAGAGTACCACCCCTGCGTGCTCTGATCATCTTGAAAGCAGTGCTGTGGTCGGCCTGCTCGGCGCGCTGTTCAAGTTCTCCAAAAATTAAACTTGAAGCCAACGTAAGTCCGACCAAAATCAAAACAAAAAGCAGCAAACCTATGGACTACAAAGAAAAGTAATTCTAAGGCAAGGCGCTGTGCTCGGCCAGGCCGCCCAAATCCATGACCTGCATTGACCTGCACGTGCTTTGTTCAACATGCCCCCTATACTATCCCTCTACTACACTTAGAGTTCCAGATAAGTTGTGCAACCATTGGCTCCCACATGCTCTGACTGCGTAAGGCCTTGCTAACGATTTTCCCGAAGCCCAGGGCTCCGCTCGCAAGTGGTTGCCAGTCGCAGACTGTTTCGGTGGCTAAGACAAGTTTAGCCGCGACGACTTTGCCAAATTTTGCCGAGAATTCCTGCATCTTCAAGTGGATGTGTGCGGTCGTGATTCAGGGCCAACGGAGATGGCTTGTCGACTTGACACGACACGTGGGCATCTGCCATCTTTACCAACGGGACCCTACATGTAGCAATACAAATTCAGAAACAGCAAGCTGCGGATGGAGCAGAGCTGTGCTCAGCTTCTGCCAAGAACGGCTGTTAGTCAACACACTCGATTAGGTATGAGCATCTGGCCAGTCACTTGCAGCTAAGTTTATTGGCAAGCAATCTGCAAGTGGCACTTGAAGGTTGTAACACAAGATCACGCCAGCGTTAGCGGCCCTGGACGAAAAACACTTGCAATGTGGACTTCGTCCCACGCCTGCCAGTGTTCGCGCAAAAACTCGTGCTTTGTTTTTTACGGGCCATGCGGAAAAAAGACGGAACAACTGCATTTCGTGCCACGCCTGCCAGTGTTTTCACACTTCCAAATTTCGAGCGTTTTTGCGCTCGCGGCGCGGTTTTCGTGTTTGCGGCTTGGATTATTTTTTTAACGAGCAATGCGCCGCATCCCACGCCGGGCAGGGTTTTTTGTTCTTCCACGTTGAACGATGACACTTTGATTAATATGAATAAAATTCTAGCCTTACAAGTTCCCCTTCGAAAAGTTCTAGCCTCACAAGTTCCTTTCAAGGAAATTCTAACCTTGAAAGTTCCCTGCAGAAAGTTCTAGCCTCTCACGTTCCTCTGCAGAAAGTTCTAGCCTTACAAGTTCCCTTCCAAAAGTTCTCGTCTCTCAAGCTCCTCTGCAGAAAGTTCTAGCCTTACAAGTTCCCCTTCAGAAAGTTTTAGCCTTACAAGTTCCCCTCCCAAAAGTTCTAGCCTTACAATTTCTCCTCAAGAAAGTTCGAGCCTCACAAGTCTCTCTCAAAAAAGTTCTAACCTTACAAATTATCTTCAGAAAATTCTAGCCTTACAAGTTTCCCTCAAGAAAGTTTTTTCGCCTTACAATTTTCCCTCAAGATAATTCTAGCCTTACAAGTTTACCTCAAGAATGTTCAAACCTTACAAGTCCTCTTTAAACTAAAGCTCGAAACTCGAAACCCCAAACCTAAAAAGCTAAGTGCAGCTGCAGGTCACACTGTGTCTTGTTTTCGCAGCTGGCGGACCTTGCGGGCAAAGAATGCCCAAAAGTCTGGCTCGGAGTGCCTAAAGGCGCTCGCATAGGCGTAGTCCCAATTATGTTTTGGGCATGGATGCTCTGGTGCCCGGGAACAAGAACGGAATTATGGTCTAAGCATGGATGCTCTGGGGCCCGTATGCTCTTGGAACACGAACGGAATTATGGTTTCGGCATGGATGCTTTGGTAACCGTAAGCTCTTGGAACACGAACGGGATTATGGTTCGGGCATGGATGCTCTGGTGGGTGCACGTATGCTCTTGGAAGACGAACGAATTATGGTTTGGGCATGGATGCTCGGTAACCGTCTGCTCTTGGAACACGAACGGAATTATGGTTTGGGCCTGGATGCTCTGGTGCCTGTATGCTCTTGGAACACGAACGGAATTATGGTTTGGGCATGGATGCGGTGGTGCTCGTATGCTCTTTGAACACGAACGGAATTATGGTTTGGGCATGGATGCTCTGTAACGGTATGCTCTTGGAACACGAACGGAATTATGGTTTGGGCATGGATGCTCTGGTAACCGTATGCTCTTGGAAGACAAACACGATCGACAGTAAGGTCTGGTCGTGGTTGCTGTGGTAAGCGCATGCTGAAACGCATCCACATGCATAGCCCCCGGGTCTGTCACGCCAGCGAAAGCAGCCCTGGTTTGATGAGACCCAAACCGTCTATGTCGTATAAGAACGCATGAAATCAGTGTTTCGTCCAGGGCGCGAGCTAAAACAAGCTAGATGTTTCTTCAGTCCTTCACTGCTCTTTCCAGATAGGCGTTCTGCCTCAATTCAAGTTCTCTCTGCTTCCAAATAAAGAAGGTCCTTCTCCTACGCCGCTGAGGTCTCAACATCCTGAAGACCACACTGTCCGGCCAGGCTTGAGCATGACTGCGCATAGGCAAGATAATGGATCTAAGAGCTGTGAACAGAAACCTACGTATTTCCGTACAGCTCACGAACCAACGCGTACCAAAGCGAACCAGCAATCGTCCATGTGGCCTAGATTTTGGTGGCGCTGCTCGACCCTCCCTGGATCTCCGCACTTGAGGCATGACGGCGGATTGTCAAACCCGTGCTTTGCCTTGGAGACTCTTCAAAACATTGCGTTGAACACCAATTTTGTCAACTTCCCTTTCGCAGGAAAGTGATAATATGAGCGAGTCCACATTGCAGCACGATCATGCCTCTGCATTTGACCAGAAACAGAGATTAGCCTTCATGCCAACTACATTTTCGTTATCGACTTCTTCTGGAATCTCTGACGCTGGTGCCGCAAGTGTTGCGCACGAGCTCAAAACCCCTCTAATGGTGAACATTAGCCCCGCCCTGTCCCCCAGGAGCAAGCACCCCCTTTCGAAGCCCACGCGTTGTGTTGCTGCTCTTCTCGGGCCAATTCTTTTTGATTTGCTTTGCTTAGGCGTGAGGGGAACCATGATCCCCTGACTATTGAAACCATGAAGAAAAATAAACTGAGGCATGAAGCACCAAGCGTCTCCCAGAAGGCGAGGGTATATCTCAGTGTATATATCCCTCATCCTGTGCGACTGTCTAAGTGGGAGGCCACAGCATGGCAACTCTCTTTTGCTTTGCTTCGCTTTGCTTTGGCGCGGGGGAACCATGTTGCCCCGCACTGCTGGGGACGCCTGGCGTTTATGGCGCCGCGTCGCCACGTCAGTACCCTCACCCACCCCACCACCCCCATGATATATCCCCTACGCTGCAAAAGCGTCAACAGTCACAAGGATGGGGCCCCTCGGGCCCGTCATCCTCGCACCTGTCGTCTTCATCTCTGCACCCGTCGTCAAGAACGAGAAGGCCAGCTCAAGCGGACAAATTAAATGACTAGCACCAGCCTGGCGACGGGTCCCTGAAGATTGTAAGGGCCTATATTAAAATCTGTAATCATGGATTATTAGCCTAAAAAGAACTCTATATTCTAGCAGTCGTCTGGGCCCGTGGTTTGCGCTTTCTTCTTCACTTTCATTTCTTCACGTAATTCACTCCTTTAAGTACATTCGTTGGGCCTCAAGGTGACCATGTGGGGCAAACGTCAGCAGAGCGTAAGCGTGCGGCGTGCACGATTAGACTCCCGCTGATGAAGGCACGCACTGGGCGGAGCTTCCGTCAGACGCTTGCCTCACAAGCCAGGCGACCGCGCAGCATTCACGACAGCTGAAGGTTCTCTCAACTGCGGCAGGGGTATTTTCACGGATCAAGCATTTTCTGGAGGCTTCCTGCTCGGCTGCCGGATTGGCGATGAGATCACTTGCTGGTAAATGTATGCTCTTAAGCAAGAGTGTTGATCAACCTTCAGTTGAATCATGGGGTTGGCTGCGTGCAAGTCTCCGCGCGCAAGCTTTGATCTCTCGCTTGTGCAGATAGCACAATTCATTCTCTCAGACAGGATTTGCGGTCACAGTGATCAGTGCCCACACTGCTCACCCATGCTTGCCATCATCCTTGTCATTCTCCACGTGCTGGTCACCACTTGTACGCTGAG